CTCGAAACGGTCTTTGTTCTACGACAACTGTAAGTCGGTATGGGAAAACAAAATATTTGTTTAATTGTTCAAAGTTCATACTCAATGTCATATGGTTATAGACAAGGAAGATAAGAAATTACATATAAAGAGTAGCCACTTTAAATGACAGAAATTCTTTTAGTTAAATTTGCTCATGATTTGGTCTTTTCGTGGTAAATAGTGCCAAAATACTCTTAATTATTTACTTTCATGTCATTACTAATCTCACATAAGGTCAAAAGTTGTACAACGTTTAACAGATATGATTGTGACATGTTGTATCCAAACATTTCCAAAAAAATCCAAACAAATCCAAGCTTGGAAATATGACCTTGACAAAGTTTGGAATGGTCATATTTCCATTTGGAATGGTGGTATTTCCAAGTTTTGGACTGTTTGGAATGGATGATATTTTGTCCAGTGTTGTATGAAACTTTATGTGTTGATATATAACAACCTGACAACTTCATACATGTACCTGATGCCATCCATTTTTTTTCGAGTCAACTCAATGATATTGCTGACAAAACAATTCCTAAGTCCTCTGCAAATCCTCATATTCGTAAACCATGGTTTAACTGTGATTGCAAACAAGCAAGAAAGTGCAGGAATAAAGCGGGAAAATATTTTTCCACACATCCTACAGTTCACAACTTGAACACTGTTAAAATTACTAGTGCCAAGGCACAACGTGCTTATAAACAAAATAAGCGTCAATCTTGGAGGAACTATGTCTCCAAACTTAATTCAAGTACACCCATATCCAAAGTGTGGCAAACGTTCAAAATCTTCTGTACACCATCTAAAAGAAGGTGACAGATTAATAACTGATAAATTAAATATTGCAAATAAACTTGGCGAAACTCTTGCCAAAATTCTTCATCAACAAATTGTGTCCCTGAGTTTCAGAAATATCAGAAACAACAGGAAAAGAATAAAGTTAATTTTGATTCTAATAATGGTGAAGATTACATCAAAGTATTTTCATCGCATGAGCTACATACCGCCCTTGAGCAAGCTCATGATCCTGCAGCGGGTGATGATAATATCCATTATCAGTTACTGAAGCATTTGCCTGAATCATGTCTTGAGACACTTTTAAATATCTTTGACCAAACATGGACTTCAGGGAATTTTCCTCCTTCGTGGCATAATGCCATTGTAGTAGCCATACCAAGACCTGGTCGGGATCATACAGATCCCTCAAATTACCGTCCTATATCTTTAAGAAGTTGTGTTTGCAAAACCATGGAACGAATGGTGAATAATAGATTAGTATGGTCAAAAATGCTATTGTAAGCAAACAACATGTAGTGTCAGTTTTCTTCGATCTTGAGAAGGCCTACGACACTACCTGGAAGCATGGCATTCTAAAGGATTTACACGATTTTGGCTTGAGAGGTCGTTTACCTCATCACAATTTTTATAAGACAGACAATTTCAAGTCCGAGTGAGTTCCACCCTGCCTGACCATTTTAATCAGGTTTAGGGTGTCCCATAAGGAAGTATTTTGTCTGTTACCTTATTTATTATAAAAACAAATAGTCTTTCAAAGGTTTTAAGTGATTCAGTGGATGGATCACTTTTCGTAGATGACTTTAATGTTTCTTGCCGTGGAAAAATATGCATTCAATAGAGAGGCAGTTACAAATCTGTCTCAATAAAATTCATAAATGGTCCCTTGAAAATGGGTTTAAATTTTCTACATCCAAAACTAATTGTATACATTTCTGCAGAAAATATAAGCCGTATAATGACCCTGAACTGTTTTTAAATGGTACCCCTATTAAAGTTGTGAAAGAGGCCAAGTTCTTGGGACTTATTTTCGATAGCCATTTCACTTTTTTACAACATATTAAATACCTTAAAGCTAAATGCCTGAAGGCACATGATTTGTTGAAAGTCGTTTCTAATTCGAAGTGGGGAGGGGATCAGACAACACTCTTGCACTTGTACAGGTCCCTGATCCGTTCAAAACTTGATTACGGCTCCATCGTCTATGGAGCCTGCAAAAGTAACTTACAAAAACTAGATACTATCCATCATCAGGGCCTGAGGCTTTGCCTTGGAACATTTAGAACGTCTCCAATTCACAGTTTGTATGTAGAAGCGGATGAACCGTCTCTTAAACAACGCCGTTTGAAAATATATTTACAATATCTCACTAATTATATTCAAATCAGTCAAATCCCGCTTTTTATTGCGTCTTTAATCCCCTTAACCAAGATATTTACAATAAAAAATCATCTCTCGTTCCAACTATCGGAATAAGAATCCAGTCTGCCATGTTTGCTTCTAATATTAAATTGCACGATATTGCTCCCTCTCAACCGTTTTCATCAACTCCTTGGCAAATGGTAAGGCCAGAGATAGACCTCACATTAAACAAATTAAAGAAATCAGATACAAATCAACTAATTTACCAACAAGAATACAATCAATTAAGAAACAATTATGACACGTAAAATCTATATTTACTGATGGATCCAAGGATGGTGGTGCTGTTGCTAGTGCCACTGTCATTGGATTCAGGACAATATCTTCGCGATTACCAAATAACTGTTCCATCTTTACAGCAGAAGCAAACGCCATATTTACCGCACTAAAATATATCAAAAACCAATCTAACCATAAACAATTCATTATTTTTTCAGATTCCCTTTCGTGCCTTCAGGCGATTAAAAATATATCATGCATACATCCACTTTTTATCCAAATTCTTGAATTATTTAATGAGCTTGCTACTTGCCAATATGACATCGTCTTTTGTTGGTTACCAAGGTGAGGATCCTCCGTTTTGTATCCCTTGTGATGAAAGAATCACGGTCAAGCATGTCCTGCTTGACTGCATTGATTTTTCAATCACAAGGGATAGATATTTCAGTGTCAAAACAGTTAAGGACCTTTTTAATGATGTTAATTCTCATTTAATGTTAAGCTTTTTAAAAGAAATCGAACTTGTCCATAAATGTTGATGTACTGAATGTTTTCTTTTATAAATTGGTAGTGTTAAATAATAACTTAGATTGTTACTGGCTGTACCCTCGAGGGGGGTTGAAGTAGCGTAAAATTATTGTCCCCCTAAGAGGGTATGTAAGTCCCATATCATTCGAAGTATTTTCTGGATGCCAGGCTTTTAAACGTAGTTTTTTCGTAATTTTAATCTAAGGCTTAACTGGTACACTGTTGCCAGTGACTGAAGGGATGATATAAATCCTGCCGGGGTCCATGCAGGAAGCAAAGGTACTGTAAGTCCCCATGGTCCCCAGTATGGTGATCTCCCTTCAGTGGCTGACGATTTCTAGCATAATTTTATATTGTGTTGTTCATTAATGCGTACTATTTTTTAATATTCTCAACTAGTTTTAAATCAAATCTGTGATATTCTAGTTATTCTACTGCCCATCGTTGACAGCTTTTTATTTCCTCTGACATAATGGAACTGTAATTTGCATTAGTGCAAATATCACAGAGCCACACCACAATATATTCATCGAGACTGATATGTAGCCACGGTCGGTCTGCATTATTCATTTACTGGAGGATGATGTCTTGCCATTTTCCCGTCAGCACTTTAATTTGATCTTCCGTATGGATATAGTAATTAGTTTGCTATATATACGTGTTAAATCTTAAAACTATAAGCCTCATTTCTCTCTCCCCACATCTCTCTCCCCTATCCATCAAATGGTCGGTCCCTCATCAACCATGCCTTGTAACGATACATACATATTTCATCATACTAAATCCGAAGACAAAACTAGCGGTACTGATAGAACCTAGGGAAGGATACTCCATGCATACATGTTTATTTTAATTCCGTCAAATTTTCAACACATAATCAAGGTGAGTATGGCTCAATTCCATTTAAGCCTTAAGCCTTTAAGTATACTCACTCTTGGCATAGCTTGTTCTCGATTTGTTTTTCGTGAGGGCCAAACTGTATGAACGTCGGAGCTTGCGACGACGTTCATACAATGTTGGGCCCTCACTCTATGAAGGTTCATACTCCAATGAACTCACACAAAGTTAAAGTCAATTCTTATAATTATTTTATTACAATTTCTTACCTCAAAGGATGTAGGCCAAGATCTAAACACAATTTTATTTAGTACGTGGGACTTCATGTTTACACTGACATCCATACAACAACCAGCTTTATCGCGGAGTAAAATAGTTCCTCAAAACGAGAGGTGACATGGGCGTATGGATGCACAACTTGCTCTTCAGAAACATCTTCGGCAGCACATGTTTTACAAATTATATCCTCATTAGATGAGATAGGTCTGTAAAGAACTACCTCAGTAGGTTAGTCACAATGACAGTGCGTCGTAATACATTTACATCAAGTACAAGACGTCAAAATGGCCGACAAGATAAACGTGACGGGAGAGATTTCCGAAGTTGTTAATAAACCTGTGGCGGTTACATGTGTTAGTCATCATTGATCAACTGGCCGATCACGTGAAAGGTAAAAAAAGATGCGTCAAACAGACACAAAGATAAATTCATAGATTGCTGGAGACGGTCAATGTTTGCCTAGGCACGGATCGAGTCGAAACTACGATAGTTTAGATGTGCATTTCTTCGTTTGTTCATTAGGATGGGCCGTAGCGAGGATATTTGTGAACAATCATGCAGTCACGCTCTCTGACATTTCTCAATGTATACTGAAACGCTGAGACCAAGAATAAAGGTTAATATAAGGGAAAAGCCATATATCGTGTAAACTAAATTAAAAAATATTATGTTATAATGTATATAAGAAAGCAAGTGTGGTTTAACGCCACCTTCAGGCAATATAGTAGCTATATAAATGGGAGGAATTTGCACCATATCTTTTTTCGAGTGCATGACGAGCTGGTGTTCTAACAAGTAAGCTACCCAACTGTACCCAATTATACATATACCACCTGATAAAACACCTGAAATCATGTGTCATATAATAACATCAGACTTTCTAAAAAACGTATACTCACTCTTTGCACACGAATGTCTTGAAGAATTGCCTGAAACTGAGGGAATATTCATGTTATAATGCATTTAACGCCTCCTCTATAAAGACTACATCTGACGAGTCCTTGTTTTTATCACTTAATGCAGAGTGCAGAGAAACACCAAGTACCATCTTTTGGTATGACCTGTACGAGGATCGAGCAACCGACTTTCAACTCTCGGGGAAGACGCTCTATTCACTACACCACGGAGGAGGTGTGGTAACTAACACTACATCATTCGTAGAATGTGAAAAATTGAGCAGTTGTTCTGATTAATTTGGATCCAACATAATTTTCATTTCGCCAAGTCCAATGGAACGTTTTTCAAATTTGGAATTTAGAAAAAAAAAACATTTAACGATTTCAACAAATCAGGTTGCATCACAGATTTCCATTCGTTTAACAACATATGAAAGTTAAACCGACCCAAGAAAGCATACTTTAATGAAATAAATACAAACTATTTAATTGATGGAAGACATCTGGGCACACTTTATTGCTGGTTATAAATACAATATAAGACAAATGAAAGTACCCCAATGAAATGCAACCAATGGTCACCTCCCTAAAGTAAAGCCCACATTCCACCATGTGGGTGGTCAGCAGTACCGGTAGCTGTCAAGCCTCCAGCCAACAAAAACCATTGACATGAGAGGAGGGAGTGAGTGAGTATGGTTTTAGCAATATTCCAGCATATCACGGCGGGGGACACCAGACATGGGCTTCACACATTGTACCCATGACAGGAATCGAACCCGGGTTTTCGGCCTGACAAACGAACGCTATAACCACTAGGCTACCCGACCGACCCTGACATGAGAGGAATAATAGAGAGGGGCACCATCATCGACCACTCGGCCAAACACGCACGCACGCCTATTAGACTTTCGTCATCTTACTCATGATGAAACATTAGGGTTTCTATGCAATCTTTGTCTTGTTTCAGTTATTAGTCATAGACTAAATGTGGCATAGTGATGTTGATCCCGGCAGCCCTGAAAGAAGAAAAAAACACAAACCTCAGAAATATGCTAGATTAAAAAAAATAAACAACACTCCCAAATATGCTGACAAAGCATTTTAACTAATGGTTTAAAAAATGAGGGAAGGGAGGGAACTTAACGCAATGGAAAACAGCGTCGTTTTGCCTCGCCTGACTCATATCGTGATGCACCAAGCAATACTTATAGAAAGTAGTTTCCCTTTGACCACGAAGTAATACGTTAATGGTTTCAAATTATTTTCTCTGCAGATGCAATTTGATAAAATGTATTACCAACATTTGAAAATTTAACAAACCAAAGGAAAGCATACTTTGATGAAATAAATACAAACTATTGAATTGTTGGAAGACATCTGGGCACAGTTTATTGCTGATTGTGAATACAAAATATATAATATTTTGACCTCCCTTTAGTTAAGCCCACATTACACTTTCTGGTGGTTACCAGTACCGATAGCTGTCAAGCGTCCAGCCTACTAAACCAATGACATAAGAGGAATAATAGCAAGGGTCACCATCACCGTCAACTATTCCATTCAGCCAAACTCCTGCATACATATTAAATATCAAATATGAGCCCTCTATGCACCTTCCCTTTAACAAATGTACCATGCAAATTAGACCGGCAGCCCAGAGCACTTTGGTCAAACGAACAAGGTACCAATAACCGAACACTGGAACATTTACTGTGTAACCCAACATATTCATATATGGATGTCTGCCGGGGAGCCCCTGCTGCGTGTGGCCCCTGGCCCCCCAAAAGAAGGGGCCATTCAAGGGCTGGATCAAACATTGGAGGTACCACATGAAAGTAAGTGTAAATGAACTGGTTCATCTCACAGAGTACAGAATGGGCCACGCCAGACAAATCTTCCTTTGCATAAGGCCTGGCAGACACCCCCAGAGAGGGTCCCAAAATTTGGGCTGGGTTAAACAATGGAGGTACCACATGAAATCAACATAAAATGAACTATTACACTCTACTAAGCATAAAATACCCATTGCCAGACAAATCGTCTGCTGCATAAGGCCTGCGAAACACCCCAAATGTTGACCCTTAATGCACTCAGTGGTAAAATTTGACTAGAGTATACATTCAAAGTACCAGATGAAAGTAAGTTTAGATGAACGGGTACATGTTACTGAGTACAACACGGCCCATACCTGACATACTTATTGCACAATACCCATTGCCAGACAAATCATCTTCTGCATAAAGAGTGAGTGAGTGAGTTAAGATTTAACGTCACATCGGCAGTATTTCAGCCATATCGTGACGAGAACTACATTAATAAGACATATATGGAGACGAAATAAAAACCTGTCAACGATGGACAGTACAATAACTAGTATATCACAGTTTTGATTTAAAACTAGTTGAGAATATTAAAAGTTAATAAGTATTAGAGAACAGCACAATATAAAAATGGGCTAGAGATCGTCAGTCACTGAAGGGTGATCACCATACTAGGGACCATGGGGACTTATAGTACCTTAGCTTCCTGCATGGACCCCGGCAGGATCTTCTGCATAAGGCCCGCCAGACACCCACAAACAGTTGACCTCAGGTATACACGGATAAATTGGTCTGGAATATATATCGATTGTACCACATTAAGGTACGTTTGAATGAACAGGTTCATATCACAGAGTACAGAATGGGCCACACCAGACAAATCTTCCTCTGCATAAGGCTTAAACATTGGAGGTATCACATGGAACCAACAAAAAATGAACTATTACACTCTACTTATTACAAAATACCCGTTGCCAGACAAATCCTCTTCTGCATAAGGCCCGCCAGACACACCCTCACCCCACCCCACACAGTTGACCCTCTGTAATCCCAGTGTGCATAATGAAACATTGGACATCAGCTCTGAGAGTCAACAGATGGTCAAATTTATGTTTTGTTCTTAAAGATGGAAGGATTTTATTGAGATTAATATCACGTATTTATAAATTCCGGTCTCTGAATACTAGTATTGATATCATAGATTAGGCCTATCGTTGAAATGTAATGAAAATGGCATGAATCTGAATCTTGTGAATATATATCTGATCAGCTATGAAGTCCTCAAAGCCTGCTACAGCCTGATAGCTTGGCTACGGATTCCTACAAGCCCGATAGGCATTTGATGCTATGTGCCATGATTTTTATATACTGAACAACAAAAGTTCCTGTGACATTGAATAAAATTTAATGCAAAGTTATGTTTTTACCAAATCTGAAACAATTTCGGCTTGACACAGATAAAAGACTCCTGTAAGTGTTCAAATGGTTTTAATTTGTCATACTGATTTCGGAAAATGCGTGATTTCATTATAAAAAAAACATGTACATGCCAAAGTGTCAATTTACAAATCAATAGCGTGTGTGTCCGCCTCTGGTTGCGATGCAAGCAACACATCTTCGTCTCATGGAATTGACCAGGCGTCGCACAAAGTTCTGTGGGATATCTGTCCATATCTGCTGGAGCATGTTTCGAAGTTCCTGGAGGTTCTGTGGAACACGTGGTTGACGTCGAAGGCGCCGATCCATCTCATCCCACATGTGCTCGATTGCTGATAGATCAGGGGAGCGAGCCGGCCAGGGGATGACATTCACGTTGTTTTTGTTGAAGAGATCCTGAACAAGTCGAGCAATATGAGGCCGGGCGTTGTCATGTTGAAAGGTAATGCCTGGGCCATGACGACGCAAAAACGGTAGAACAACAGGGCCGATGATCTCGTCGCGGTAGCGCTGTCCATTGAAAGCACAGCCACAATTTCATGTTTCACAACATTACCCCAAAGAAGATACACTTCAACAGATACACACTGATTGATTCCTTTCCGCTTCCTGTCCATCGCTTCACCAGAATCATCCCCTTTCCGTGCCCACCTTGATAAAATCTCAGGCCACACGATGATAGTAAGAGCAATAGCTAATTCAGTTACTTTAGGTCTGTGACGAAGATGTCTTACTTGTTCTTGACAACATAACCAAGTCATTTGAGCCTTAATGTATTAACAACGTTGTTGGCGGTTCTATGACTTTCATCTTCTGCCTAATGAACGGACCCCAAGATTTAGTTGTATCAGAGTTGATGCACATCAAGTTGCCGCCCCAATCCGTAAGGAATGTGACTTGTACGCATCAGAGCTTAGATCAATGAAGCTTCTTCAGGAGTGCTGTAAATTGGCTATCTGTTGACACATGAACCATCTGCATGAAAGAATGATTTAGATATGTTGGTTACTTTGCTTCTGTCGGTTAAATACTCCAACATGGCCTTGATGGGACCCACTCGCCCGTCCTGTTGCGAGTTGATGATCAACGTACAGGATAGACCGTTCGGATCCATTTTGGAATGCCTAACACTTAATGTAAGCTGCTTCCAATGCAGCATTATGTCCTGCGTCAGAAGTCCCATACTCCGGTTATGCCCAGCAACCTGTGCTTTTAATGCCTTGGGGTAAGCTTTCCTGGTGTTGAAAGACAAAGAATCTAGTAACCTATGAGCTTCATCTTCCATATCCTCGAGTGGTGTGGAATCAGAGACGAGCCGTTTTCGGCGTCTGGTGCCTCCGAACCTCTGAAATTATGATCTGGATTAGCTGTCTGCATTCATATGCCCTGGACTATGCGAGCCCTAACTAAGCAGGTTTTTTTTAGGCACTGCATGATGAATAATCTTACCAACACACTTGAAAGTGAGCCTGTAGAGCACATCGACCATTGCCTGGTTATCGGATTTAAATATAACTTTATTGTTCTTCAGAAATTTACACCATATAAAAACTGACACCATGACAGGAAAGAATTCCCAAAATGTGAAGTCCGTTATGTAACCAGCCTCGTGCCATTCTGACGTCCATTAACCATTTCAGTAAAATGTAACATTTTTTTACATTTGTATACTTATCCTGCATAACCACACCCTTAACACATTTGCAGCTGCTTTTTGACAGAAAGACGGAGCTGTGAGAGGTCTAGCTGCAGAAGACGTTGTACCTTTACACAGCTGGCTTG